TGCATACTAGTCCCTCAGTTTTTGAGACATCGATCTGAAATTTTTCAAACCTATTTTTCTCCCCAGAAGCTTCTCATTTATAGAAACCGATATCGGACTGCAATGGCGTATATTCGTAGCTGTCATACAACCTGAACGGTAAGAATCAAGCTATTGCATGGAATATTTTGAATGTGTGAAAGGCTTTATAGTTTCGGTGCAACCGAAATTAACTGTTTTTCTCTTTTTAAATATTTTTAGTCGTGAAAGAAACATAGTGAACATAGTGGTAGCTGAAACGGAATCACTTTTAATATTTCTATTAGCTTTTTCGGTAGATACTCAATTAAAATTAATGTCAAAAGCAGTAGTTCGACCTTGAAAAGTACTAAATTTGAATTATGAAACACCTTAATAAAATTAATATACCATATAATACAACCGTCTCGTGTATGTTTCTCGCGCCTCAATTTCAAATATGTAAATAAAACCTGCGGTTTTTCATTAACACATAAATGAAATGGGGTAAAAATATGATTGAATAATTATGCCAAAAACTATATTTTAGCCGTAGCTAAATATATATTCTATTGAAAATAAACTGAATATACTTAGAATATGTAGGCTTTGGCAATTTAGAATAATTTAATTGACAGGTCGAATACACTCAGCTAAATCGTCTCTGTAATTTTAAAGTAAGATTAAGCATTACTTTTAGAACACCAAGTCAATTTAGTGCTTTATGCCAACAATCACTAAGTTAGTAAAATTTACACATTCGACTTTTTATCAGAAACTAATTTTATGCACTAATTTGCTCACATTTTTATATGCGCACACATATCTAGATTTGCGTCTGTGTGCACCCATCATGTTACCCCTTTATGCCAATAACAGTATCTTGTAAATTGCTTCATTCATCTTTTAATTTCGCCTGCTAACATTTCTCATCCAAAAAAAGATTGAATAAAAAGTTTAATGTTCATTGGAAGTTTATGGTCAAGTTTACGGCTTGTAGCCGGTCTACACACACACCCACGTACAGTATTCCTCAATATAACATAGTATTTGTGTGATAGATTGCGCATTAGATTTTGATGTTGCAGTGTTCTTATAGAAAAACAGAAGTACATATATGTATGTGGCGTATCTACGACGGAAATTTTGCATGCACATAAATAACAATAAATTGAGGAAGTCGATACTCTAGTACGGTGGTTGTTTAAAACCAAAATTTGCAAGTAAAGGTTTGCCATTAAATATTCATAAAAAACTTCTTTAATCTGATTTGAAGAATATATTCAATAGTCAATCATTGTATTAAATCTTCCTCCTATCTAAGTCCTATTTGACCTCATAGTGACTGTGTTTGCTCTCTTTTCTTTCATGCCGTCACGCACTAATGTATTTTGCTGCCAAAAGCACTATAAAATAACAAAAAAACGTTAACTTCGGCTACACCGAAGCTCTACTATCCTTCACAATTAAAAAGAGTTTCCATACAACTTGATTTTGATCGTTCAGTTTGTAATGAGCGATATCGGTGGTTCCGACAACTGAGCAGCTTTTGTGCAAAATTTCAGATTAATATTTCAAAAACTACTAGTCTCTAGTTCGTGTATATACAGACAAGCAGACAGACGGACATGGCTAAATCCACTCAGCTGGTCACGCTGATCATTGATACTCGTATATATTTTATAGGATCTCAGAAGTTTCCTTTTGCGACTTACATACTTCGTAAGAAGTTAAAAAACAAAATAGTTGCCTATTTTCAACATTCTTTGAAATAATATTGTGATGTCAATGGAAGATGCATTACTTGAGATTCGTTGAAAAGCCTAGAAAAAATCAGCTGTTATACTTGTACAATAAATTTAATTTGAGTTTTGGCAGACAATTTAGATATTAATTACCAAAATTATGGGAAGAGAAATAAAATGTATAACCTGCAAAGGCAATGCAATGACAACAGACTAACTATTTAAACTTATGTGTTGGATACTGGAATGATTTGAAATAAACAACTGAACTATGCAACTAAAGAAACAAGAAAGCAATAGGTGAATTTGAGGTGTTTAGTGATATTTAGAACTTCATTTGAAGATTTTTAAAACTCAACACCCATTTGTAGTACAAATAGACACAAGAGTTGTTACCTCTATCAGCTAAGTTTTTGATGTTTTCTGCTAAAAATAAAATAATCGTTAATCTTGTTGTAATAACGGGTGTTTTTTTCGAGGTATAGAACTTTAAGTTGGCATTACTGTTCAATAGGGCGACCGCTTTAACAGCTGTCAAGTGATTTATTCTCAGTTTGGTTTGGCTATTCATCATGAATAGAATCACGCCTGAACAACGCTTGCAAATAGTGCAATTTTATATCGAAAATAATGGTTCGGTGCGGAATACGTATCACGCACTATGTTCATTTTATGATGAAGCGCACTTCTGGTTGAATAGCTATGTCAACAAACAAAACTGCCGCATTTGGAGTGAAGCTAATCCTCAAGTGTATGTCGAAACACCGTTACATTCAGAAAAACTGACTACTTAGTGCGTTTTATGGGCTGGTGGAATTATTGGTCCGTACTTCTTCAAAAACAATGATGGCCAGAACGTTACAGTCCATGGTGATCGGTATAGAGCCATGATTACTAACTTTTTCATTCCTGAATTGAACAACCATGATGTCCAGGAGCTGTGGTCCCAACAAGACGGTGCAACATGTCACACAGCTCGTGCCACAGTCGATTTATTGAAAGACACGTTTCGTGACCGCCTACTTTCATGTTTTTTACCTGTGAATTGGCCTCCAAGATTTAACACCGCTAGACTACTTTCTGTGGGGTTATGTAAAGTCATTGGTCTATGCGCATAAACCACAAGCGCTTAACCATTTGGAAGACAACATTCGCCGTTTTATTGCCGATATAGGGCCACAAATGTTGGAAAAAGTCAGTCGGACGTCCAGATTAGACTACATCCCAACCAGCCGTGGCGGTTATATGCCAGAAATCATATTAAAAATGTAATGCCACAAGATTATCTTTCGGATAAATAAAATGCATGTCAATCTAATAATACATCGTTGTTTTATTGCAATTTAAAGTTCTATACCTCTAAAAAAACAACCGTTACAATTCGTTGTTCTGTTCGGCATACTTATATACTATTATTAATACATTACATGCAGAATTGAAAATTATTAAACCGGTTATATCAGTTATGACACGACAATAACCCACTTGGTGACTGGGTTAAAAACTCGTATATGCACAACAACAACAAGAATTATTCACTCTATTAGATTAATTTATTCAATTAATATTCTATATACTATATTTTTTAGTCCGACTAATAATTTTAGTTGAATTTATGTTTAACAGTGAATAAGCTTTACATTGGTAAGTTTGATCTAATAATATATTCTAGTCCATATTTTAAACCTAAGAGTTCTTGTAATCGAGAATCCTTTCCCAAATTAATTTCAAAAACTCTATTATTCTAGTACTTTATCAGCCCTAGAATGTTGTTTTAAAGAAGCGCTAGCAAAACTTAAACAGTAAAGTGCTTGTAATCACAAAAAAATCGTAATACAGTGCTGGTTTCTCCAACAAGACTAGGGCTAAGGTTTCTTTTACTTATGGACTTTAGCGCACTAGCCAGCCTATCAGTTGTTTTTAAATAGTAGTATTTTTTCCTACGTTCTGACTGGGTTGCTTAGGCTGAACATTAATAAATACAAATTTTATTATATTGAAACCAAAACTAGTACTTTTTAAAAACCACACGAATTTGTGACAAACACAATAGCACAATTTATATTAAAAAACATAGTATACCACTCAAAATAAAAGATGAGTTCGTGCGAGTAAAAGGCGCAGAAGTTCGAGGTGAAAACTTATTAAAGAAAGAGACCAAGTGCAAATACATAAATCTTCATAGCAATAAGAGATGTCTGAATTATTTCTATTTGTACAACTATCTAAATTAAGCTCGCTTTTATCAGTGTGCGTCATTATTTTCAAAGATTTATTTAAAGCAACCAATTTTAAAAACTTCAAGTGAAAAATATTCTAAATATTATACCATGGTCCTTTGGGCCTCTTACAATAACTCCCCCGTCAAAATTCAAGAGTTAGTCTGCTAAGAAGGACACAAGTTTCAGACTTCAGTTCTGCATGTAGGTGAAAATTAATAGGTGAAACAAGTCGCCTCATTAAGTTAAGTCGTGATGGAGAAACCTTACTATTTAGGACAATCTAGGACTGTCAAAATAAAAATGAAGTATTAACTTTAATTAAGTTTGTAATACCCAGCAATAAACGTAGGAGTGCCTAGAAAGTATATATAAAAATGATCAGCGTAAAACATTAATCGGACATTTAAGGTTGTTTATATTAAATAACTTGGCTTTTTAACGTTTTTTCTTATTTAAAAAACTACATATACACAGTTAAAAATATACGTACGTTACTAGAAAGTTTTGCAGGTATGTACATTAAGGTTAAAAATATTATTGCGATGATTGGCTCAAAAACCGCAATTTTTTAACAAAATTTCTAAAGGAAAAGACTCAAATACGTGTTTAGTAAAGCCCGTAGTAGATAAATTCGATTCTATTTTTGTTACTCCCAGCATAAATTGTCAAAGTTAGGCCTTTTTGAGGCTGTATTAAAACTAGAGCCAACATTTTACAAATACAAGCATGAAAACAACTCAAAAATGCATAATCATATAAATAATGCCAGACAGAAGTTTTGTTACATAATAATTATTTTTTATAAAACTTAATTTGGTATTATGTACACCTTTGAAATAAATAAATAAGCCAAGGATAAATATTCCTTTATGTTTTTTTTTGCATAAAATCTTTATCACACTCTTCTACGTTATGGGAACATTTACAATGTACAGTTATTATTTCTAAATCCAAATTTACATTTTTGCGAAGCGAAAAGTTCAAAAGTGAAAACTTAGCAAAATTTTAAATTAACTTTAATACAAAGACAACTTACCAACAACAAAGCTGTGCCAAAAGTTGCGAAAATACACAGCAACTAACTGTTGTAACTCAAAACTGCTGAGTTAGTTTTCGCACACGCACACACTTACACCCACACAATAACACTGTGGTAAATATGGAAATAAATGAAAGTGTGCAGTCAGCAGACTTTCTTAAACAATTCACCAATGCAATATCACAATCTTCAATATTTGGTGTAAGGGTAGCAAACCAGGCGAAAACACACACAAACAAGTAGGTGGGGTGATAAAAGTCGGGGAAATTTGTGTTAATACAATGGTTTGTTTGTACGTGTGAATTTTATTTAAATATTTTTTTTGTACATTATTTTATATGCAAACAAATATTAAGTAATCTTCAAACACATTTAACATTTATATATATTTTTGTATTTTTTTTTTTGTGTATTATGCTCTTATTACAATTTGTGTTAAAATTAAATGTAAGAGTATATAATATTTATTTATGTTTATTGGGACTGAATTAGTATTATAATTATATTTATATTTGTTATTTTAAATCATTTTATTCTTATTTTTACTTCTTCAAAATTTGATTGAAACTTGTTTTCGTATTAATTTTTTTCTAGCGACACGTAAATACCACAAAGCCAATACATAAGTAATCTTTTTTCACATTAAAGCTATGTTAAACCTAATTCCTCTATTTCTAATTATTCAAATTTCCTATTTTAAAAGTTCGTGCTTCAAATATTTTTATTTATTAATTTTTATACATATAATTTTTAATTTTTTCCTTTGGCTGCATTTATCATTTTCTGCATTTTATTCTTTGTTGCACTGCTCGTCAACTCACTGAACTGTATTTGCGCTACGGCACAGACTTTCAGATTTCTATACTGCAATTTTAATCGCATTACTTTTTGCAGCAATCAAATTAAGCTAATCTTCACAAACGCACAATTGCGCAGCTACATTACCTTAAGCAGCACATCAGCGTTACTATTACCGTTGCAGTGTTGCAAGTTGCAGGCTCGCAGCTGCTGTCGTTAAGCCACTTCAGCAGCATACACGGCGTATGAGCAATTTCCTTAAGTGAATTAAAATTAATAGCAATTTCGCTGCACAACGTTTATCACTTGCATTCGCTATTATTATTACTATTATTATTTTTCAACTATGTACTGTTATTGCATTAAGCGATCATTCATTTCTGCGCACTTCCATGCGGCGCACAATTGACTGCAGTTATCTGATTCTTAAACTTTTTTTATTTTATATTGAAACTTCCGTTATTTATCGTTACCCTGCATTTTATTTTGTTTTTTAATATTTTTAACACTACACAATATTCCGTTATTTTATTTCTTTAAATGTTTGTCTAAGTTTTTCGTAAATTTTCACTTTTACATTTTGAATGTAAAATTTTCACTTAAACTAACTTTTTACAGCTCTTTTGAAATTCTTAAACTGTTACGCTTAGGCTTAATGATAATCACACAAATTTAATTAGCGCGTTATCGTCCGCTTTTCAATTGTGTTTGTTCTCGCGCGCACGGAGCATTTTCGACTGGAACCTTTGCGGTGAAGTTGCCTCTGTTCGGAACCAATAACAGCTGAAAAGCCAACAGCAGTCGCAGATATACAACCCGAACAGTGTAGGTAAGCTGCTGGATGTCCCAGCAATTGTTGTTGCTGCTGGCGCCAACGTCATCCGCGCTATAGCAGCACTCGTTTATGCCGTTATCGTTCGTCTTGCGGGCAACTGTGATTAGCGCTGAGCACATTATACACTACAGGTTCTCTCTCACAGAAAATTTTTCCACTCAGCGTACACACACCCAAGCACGTATGTACACGAGGCCGAGCTATCGAAGCAGTGAACTGTTATCAGCAGTGTAGACCGGCCAAGACCAACAGCACTTCGGGCGCATCCAGTTGATACTTCCTTCCTTCGTAAATTTATTCTCTATGTCACTGGGTCTATCGAAGACACGCATCGCCAATCAGCGTCGTTTCCTAACCCGCGCACTCCCCGGTTGCTCATGCGCTTATGCTCGGTCAGCTATCCAGCTGTATAGTGTGGCCATTATGCCACGGCTGTAAATCTCTGCAGACTTCATCGTTTGACCTATTAGATGGCGTTTACATGGGGACTTTTTATCTTTTGGTGTCGAGAACTGGAGACGAGTTTTTCTGTCAATTCTTTCCATAAAATTTTCGCAAATGTTTGTGCGGTTCCGATACGCGAGACTTAGAGCGTGTTGCATATTTCATTTGTATGTTGCTTGAAAATAATTACCATGAATATGATAGAACAATATTTAGAATACCCGCTTTTTATATAATGGAAATTTCCTAATTTATCGGGATGTATATACCCGTAATTTTTTTTAAACCATATTTTTTTTATTTATAATAAAATAATTATGAATTAATTGTATTTCTTGTTTTAAATAAAAATGATATTCGAACTTAATCCTTTACAAATAAATAAAAGTATTCCATTGAATAACTTAAAATCAATTATATATATTATCAAGGCCATACTGCTAAATGTTATTAAATAATTATATTTAACAATTTTAATTTTCTTAGTTTTATTCTTATTCACCATTTTCCAATATTATGCATATTTGGATATTACATACAAAAATAGATAACAAAATTCAAATATCTGAACGAATCGTATCTATTAATTTGAAACTTAGCGCTGTTACAACCATGAAAAGAGTTTCAAAATGAAAAAGAACGCAGAAATGGGTAGCAGTGAGCTGTTTCGAACAAGAACACAAAGCGTGCCAACCGAGCATGAGCACGGTCCCTTCGTCTATCCTTGTCGTCTCCTCGCCTACAAAAAACCGGTTTGAGCGACAAAAAACTCCGTCTGTGAACTGGCACTTACTCACCAGCGTGTTTGTGTGTTGTTATCATACGATTTTAAGATTTCAAACTCCTGTTCCGCTCTCTCTCTCTCTTGATTACTCAGTCGTTATTCAGCGCTGGGCAGCTGTTTGCGCTCACCTATCTCTGCTTTAACGGGGTTACACAATTTTATCGCATGCAATTTTAGTGTTTCGGGCGTGTGAACACAGTGAGAATGGAATATGTTAGATTGCTATTTAACAGATTAACAGTTGACTCAAAATAACGGGGGCGCCCATTGAGTGATTTTGTCTTAGCTGTAATATTTTTAAAACAGCTGCAACAGTGAATGTTGTTTTTAAAAGTGTTGGTTGAAAACATTATTTAACAGTTATTTTATACTATGTGCCTTTTTAACAGAGCCCGATTAGCGTATTTTTGTAACATGAAGAACTAATGTACATTACTTTAACAGAATATGAAATGAATTCTTTTAATTTTTAACATATCCGAAATTGTGAACTTATTGCTAAATATTTGCATGTGCTATATATTACGTACTCATTTAGTCTCATTAGAATATCTTACTCAATTTTTGAGATTTGATCCTCAAAGTTAACTCCAGTGGCATAATTTAGTATATTTATGAAATAAACTCGTACAAAGCAAGAATACTTTTACTAATAGTTATCTTGTCCACAATTGTGAAGTTATTATACATTATCGTCCTAAATATCGTACTTAATTCGGTTCATTTAGATTTGTTATTTATTTTCTGAAATTTTCACCTTAAAATAACTTCATGAACCAAATTTAGTATATTTATAGTAAATGTATTGCGGAAGAATATGGCCGATATCGTTAAAACCATATATTACTCAAAGTAATCAAGTGCTCAAATTCAGTATTCGGTGGCAGGGAATGTAGAATAATACACATTCTATTTACATTTCTATTTACCGATGAAACAAAATGTGAAGCAGGCACAGAGGCAGGATTTTTTAGGCTTTATTTGAGCTGGTGTCAAAACCTAAGTATATCTCGGGACTTACTCAACCGGTTATAACCGAATTCGGTGGATAACATTATTCTGATATTTCTATGTTACAGTTAGAAAATCAGACTACAACCACGACTACTTGCTATATAACACAATAACACAGTTTTAAAATCCATCTGATTTTTTCACTTTTCAATATACAAATCAAGTACCAATGAATATAACAGATAAAACGTTGTAGTATACCTGTGTATCAAAATTTAATTGAATTGGATGTATAACTCTCTTAGTCCTCATATACCTAATAGACATTTTTTCGAACTGGGCTGACTTTATACCCCATATATGTGCCAATATATAAGTTACCTTAATTAAATTGAGTGAACGTATTTTTCTCCTAACAGAGGGCATTTGTTTCTATTAATAATATGTAGTAACGACAAAATCGGGTCAATACTACACCTATCTTTCATATACCTAATAAAAGATTTTCAAACTTGAGGTAGATCTTTGGATATACTATAGTATACTATCTATATCTATCATACTCTATACAATAATTCCGTTATTCTAACAAACCTTATTATTTAAATCGTTTAGCGATGAACATAAATGGAATTGGTCTAGACCTTGGTCCCTTGGTTGACCTTTTGCACATAAAATATTTAATTCAGCCTCTATGGTTAAGTTTATGTTAAGCATAACTCATTTGAGGATGATGTTATTACGACTTTCGCTGACGGAAAGTAAAATTAGTTTTAAAACTAATTTAGTCTATACCCTATAATATAAGTCAATAAAATACGAATGTTGAATTCTTTCGCAACATTTTTTAATACTAAGTTTTGCCAACACCTGAAGAAATTTTCCCTACTGTGCCCATTGCAAGTTGCAAAAGTATAAATTGTTCTGTCACACCCGAACTTAGCCCTTCCTTACTGGTTATAGTATTAAAGTTATCTATTAAAAACTAGAGAATTATTATTAAATAAATACAATATGTACTTGTAAATCAAAAGACACTGCAAAACTGTAACTGTGTAACTAGCATCGACATACTTGATGTTTTTCTATAATACAATATAAGAGATTTTTTTTCTTCCGAGGTGGAAACCCAAAATTCTCCGAAAATTAAACCAACAACGAACGCACTAAACTATAACCGCCATAATTTTAAATAATTAAATATTATTCTGCCGTTTATTACATGATCTGTATAGTATCCACCAACTTCCTACCTGCTCTAATAAATAAATCTCCTTTTTGTTTCGAAGTTTTGGAAACATGTAAATTACCGCTAACGCCAAGCATTTCTTTTCCATATTTTTTATGTATACAAGTATGTACGTTTATCATCATCATTAAAAATAAAATCAGCAAAGCGCTAGGCAACTATATACAATAGGATGCAATATTTCTCAGAATCAAGAAATATATGTCTGTAATTAATAGCGACGTCTGAGGCATAGCAGGACATCCACAGTCAACACAAGCACTCACACAATATGAAGGGGTGAAAGTATTTATTTTCGATTCTAGCACTCTATTTGCAGCACCGCTGCGCGTCAGACGGTCATAGCATGCCACAATCAGCGCCAACCAGGCACAAAAGCCGTTCGGATAACAAATAAATCGACGATGCAAATAGTCGGTGGGTTGCCACAGCAATTTAAGCAGTCATTCAAAAGAAAAAACCAAAAACAAAAGCGGAAAAAAGTACAAATGAACAAGTGACAACAAAAACAATCACACCGTTGGTCTTTACGGGAAGTGAGCAAACAGTTTATTTAGTCACGAGCGAAAAAATAAAAATGTAAATCAAAAAAAAAAAAACGAACACAAACGAGCATGTTCAAAGTACTTGACAAATTTAGAATATTAAATTATTTTTTTAATATTTTGGCTATTTTGGTCGCACTTGAAAATTTTGTACTTAAAATTGTGCAATAAAAGCGCATTTACCCAAATGTATTTGAAAGTAAAAACCTGACGAAATGTTTTGAATTTTCCACTTTAGCATATAGACATAAATTCTTTCAAATGTTAGGGTGACACATGAATGTCGGAAAATTGGAATGTGTGCTTTAGATTTTATAATTCTCAGACCCAAAGTTCAGTAATAAATATTTTATTTGAAAACGAAACCTATAAATTCTATTCTCTGAGGATAAGAAATTAAAGCGTTTTGAACAGATATAGGCCAGGAGACTTGAATTTTAATTAATTAAATTGAAATTCCACTGACATTTTTTTGAATTTTTAATTGTGTTCATCATATGTTTATACCATCAGAATGTAGGGTTCTTTTCGATATTAAGTCAAAATATGGGGATAAAATGAAATACAAAAAATTGTATTACAGCATATTTCGGCATATAACCTTTTTGCCAAATTTCGAGAAAGAAAAAATCTTTTTGTAAAAAATAATAATAAACAAGTAAGGAAGAGATACGTTGGGGTAGAACCGAACATTTCAAACTCCCGCAACTTTCATGCAGCAAGTCCAGAGAAATACCTTCGGATGTTAGTAAATTTTGTATTAAACTAAGGGAAGTAAGTCAGTAGGAAGTAGGCGAATTTCAATACAAAACCATATACATTGACCGATCTGTTCGGTAAAAAATTGGTCCTTTTCCCTGGGGTTCACATATTCGGTGATTGAAAAGATATAGTCCGGGCTCGACAATTTTTGTGGCCGTGGATATTATCAGATTTTACCCATTTTCACATTGTATAAAGAAAAGTTTGGTTGAGTTGTCTGTAGTGGTTGAGAAGATATGAACATTTAACCAAGTTGTAAGAGTATTAAAACAATTTTCGCGCGATCTGACTGCGGGAGGAGTAAGTGAAGG